TATTTTTGGATAATATCAATTGTGAGCCACAATATTGTCAATACCATGCCCATTATGGACAAGAGCTCCCCCATGCTCCTTTGTATACACAGAGCTGAAGAAGGTATTAAATAAATTTGCCTTCTCTTTGTCCCCAGTCACCCACTCTAGATTTTCTAAAGGGCCTACATGCTCGGACCTGACCTTTTTACTATTAATATATTTGAAGAATTTTATGGGGTTGGTCCTACTATCTATTGCAATCTGTCGTTCGCTTTCAATTTTTGCGGCCTTTATTTCCTATTTACATATTCTGTTATATTCTTTGTAATGTTGAAACGATGATAGTGTTCCTTCATTTTTATATTTAATAAACGCTTTTTTCTTATCTATAGCTTTTTTAGCTTTGGCCATAAGTCACATAGGTTTGATTTTTAGCCTTTTAAACTTGTTGCCCATGGGAATATATTTTGCAGTGTGTTCACATACAGTCTTTTTGAAGAACTCCCATTTCTGTGTTGTGTTCATCGATGCCAATATTCCCTCCCAGTCTAAGTCTTGGAGAGCAGCTCTCAGCCTTGGAAAATTAGCTCTCTTGAAATTGAGCGTTATTTTATTTTTCCCGTATGTGCTCGCTGTTTACAGCTAACAATAAATGAAATCATGTTATGGTCAGTGCTACCCAGATGTTCTTTTATATGGACATTCGTAATAAGCTCTGCATGGTTTGAGATTACCAAGGTCCAGCAGAGCATTATTCCTAGTAGGGGCTTCTATGAACTGTACCATAATTTGTTGTCTTATATCACACACGGAAGATGAAAAGTGTACTTAGAATATTCCTCTGCAATCATCAGAAACCCTCAGAGAACCCACTTTCTCCTGTCACACTTTCTCCTGACCCCACTCAACCAAAACACCTTCCCTAATATACACCTTTTCCCATTGACCAACATGTTGAGCAATCTGATTGGTTTGTTTTATGAGCATGTTTGATCGTATGTGTTTCAAACAATGTGTCTAGACCTAGAACAGCTGTATGCATAGATTTTAGTTAAAAAGTTAAATAGATACTACTTGTCTTCTTTATAGCAAAACTGCAATTGAAATTATCTTCACCATAAACAAGTACACTATGAATATTTAAGACCTTTCCAAATGTAATCAGACAAACTTGCATTTTACAATGCAATATATTATATACAGGTGAAACTCGAAAAATTAGAATATCCTGCAAAAGTTCATTTATTTCAGTAATGCAACTTAAAAGGTGAAACTATTATATGAGACTCATTACATGCAAAGCAAGATAGTTCAAGCCGTGATTTGTCATAATTGTGATGATTATGGCTTACAGCTCATGAGAACCCCAAATCCACAATCTCAGAAAATTAGAATATTACATGCAATCAATAAAAAAAGGATTGTACATAGAACAATATCAGACCTGAAAAGTATAAACATGCATATGTACTCAGTACTTGGTTTGGGCCCCTTTTGCAGCAATTACTGGCTCAATGCAGCTTGGCATGGAAGCTATCAGCCTGTGGCACTGCTGAGGTGTTATGGAAGACCAGGATGCTTTAATAGCGGCCTTCAGCTCTTCTGCATTGTTCGGTCTCATGTCTCTCATCTTTCTCTTGGCAATGCCCCATAGATTCTCTATGGGGTTCAGGTCAGGCGAGTTTGCTGGCCAATCAAGCACAGTAATCCCACGGTCATTGAACCAGGTTTTGGTGCTTTTGGCACAGAGAGCCCATGCCTCCTCTCTACTCCTGTGGTTCCCACCTGTAAAATTGGAGGGGGGCTTGTGGAGGAGGATTGATGGGGGGTTGTTTGTGCTCGGAAGCAAAAGATAATGGGGGATTTGTCGTAGGAGGATTGGGGGTTATGTATTATGAGGCAGGATTGGAGAAGATTTGTGCTAGGAGGGGGCATTTGGGGGGATTTGGGGGGGACGCAGAATTGTGCTGCGAAGGGTAATTTGAAGGGGGTTGTGCTAAGACATGGGATTTGGAGGGATTTGCATTAGGTGAATTATTGAAGATAATATGAGGTTCGTGGATCAAGTCTCCTACCTCTCTCATGGATTCATTTACTTTGCTTGAACGCCACTGGTAGAATGTTCACATTGGGACAGCAATACCCAGGGGTGTAGTTACCATGAGGCAAACAAGGCGTTTGCCTCGGGGGGGCATTTTTCGGGGAGGTACTGCACTGGGATAATTCATAATAAAGCTTCTCACTCGCAGCCTGTTGGGGGAATCAGGGGTGTGGCTGATAATTAAGATATTATAATTACTCCTATTATAATAGGAGGTTGGTTGTGACTCAGAAGGAAACACACAGTGGTGGGGGAAGACTGGATGTTGGCAGGAGTGTACAGTATCACAGAAACAGTACACAGACTGGGGAACACAGAGATCACAGGAGCTGGATCCAGATTAGAGATCAAAGACACTGGGATCATTGAAACACACAAAAGCAGTGTACAGGTTGGAGAAACACTGGAAACACGGAAGGTCATGGAAACAACACCGTGGAACACTACAAAATACACAATGAAACACAGGGGGCCCAGCATCTAGCATATAGACATGTTGCTGGAACACTGAGCAACATGCATGCTAGTTCTTTAAGACAGTGCCCCCTTTCTGATTGTGTGGCTTCATACAGAGGGAAAAATCTGATGTGTGGAACATGTGAGTGTGACATCATCATTACCTTTACTTAAAGCGTTACTAAACCCAGACCCTGCATTCACTATATCTGGTCTCCTACAGTACACACAACATGGAAATGCAATTATGTTAGTAAAAATAAACTGCTTAATACCTTGTCTCATCAGCAGTTAGAGGTTAGGTCTTGGGACTTCTATCAGTGTCTAGCCAAGCACATGTTAAAGCTTGTAGGAGGATTTTGCATTTTGCTCTAGGAGGATGCAGGACCTCTGACCTCTGTCTGGAAAGTACTGATTGGCCCTGAGCTGATCACATGCACTCTCTCAAGAAAAAGAGAAACCTTTCTAGCAATACACGTCAAACTAAGCATGTGCAGAGTGACTCCACACGATATGTCTTGTCAGGAGATAAGAGGGGGGCACTGGATGAAGGGGAGGATCAGAGAAGTCAGGATCAAACAGTGTTTTTTTACACAATGCAGAGGATTAACCCCTTAGGTTCCAAAGTGAGTAGAAAAAGCATGCTTTACTGCATATACTGATTTTACTGTTCTGGGTTTAGTAACACTTTAAAAAAAATTCTTGACTGGCTCAGATATTACATCTTTCCAAACTCTCAAAGACTCACACCACCTTAACCTGAAAGGCATCTCCAATACTTCCAAATTAAACATTTCTTTCAACAATTGACACATACCTTGCAGGACCTGTGCTTCGTCATGGTGTCTGAGAAAACTAAAATATAAGAAAAAAATAATTTGCACGGCCTAGGTGTGATTTCTCTAATATATTCTTTATTTCCCATTATGCCTGTTAACACCCTTTTTTCTTATATGCAAAACTTGAAAGAGGCTTTGAAAGTTTATATTATATGACTATATATTATTCTATTATATGTAGTGTGGGTTTATATAAGTGTTGACGTCTTCCGTACAAGTGGAAGTGATGCAGTGTACGTGTGACCTTGTAGCCACGTCCTTCCAGCCAGAACAAGCGATGTACACAATTAACAGCAATGAGTTTAATATAGTTTTACATTACCTATATCACAAAAAAAGTAATACATAAAATATAATATGCATAATTCTGGTTTCATTATCTCATTAGGCCAATCTACTTTTAACATTTGGATTTTTTGTTCGTGTTTACAAAGATTCCTTGGACATAAACATCCGGGTCATCCTCTGTTTCCGCTCGTGCGTGATATCGCTTGATAGATTTTTTTTTTTTCGGACGTCTGTCATACCACCACATAGAAAATCGGTCGTTTGTATGCGAAACAACAGCATTTTTCACTGTTCAACCGGATTTTTTCATTCACAATATTGTTATCAGGTAAAACATCCTGCTCATCAACAAAGAGAAAATCGTTCGATCAGTAGTTCCGCAAAATTTTTCAGACGATTTTCTTATATGTGCGGGGCATTATCTTACAAAGAACCACTTCAGAGGCTTCAGCAAAGTACAAATATACCAAATCCACAGTCACTTTTATTGTTACTGCTTACTTTTTCCTACAAACAAAGCAGACTTCTGTTTTCAAAAAGCAATACTGGAAAATGTTTTTAAAATATATATTTTATAGCAGATACTCCTGTATGTGGTGTTTTACTAATACATGTACAGTCCATTGGAAAATGGTGGAATTATAAAAGGTTTATATTCTAATGCCCTGGGGAACATCATCCAAAACCAATTCGACTACAAACTGTAAAAATAAGAGACTTTAACCACTTGCCTACCAGGCACTTATACCCCTTCCTTACCAGGCATCCAATTTTCAGCTTTCAGCGCTGCCGCACTTTGACAATTGCGCGGTCATGCAACATTGTACCCATATGAAATTTTGATCATTTTTTTCTCACAAATAGAGCTTTCTTTTGGTGGTATTTAATCGCCACTGGGCGCTTTACTTTTTGCGCTATAAATTAAAAAAAGTGCAAAAAATTTGAAAAAAAAAAAAAAGTTTATTTGTTTCTTTTATAAAATTTTTCAAACAGGTATTTTTTTCTCCTTCACTGATTTGCGTTGATGAGGCGGCACTGATGGGCACTGATAGGCGGCACTGAAGGGCACCACTAAAGGGCACTGATAGGCAGTACTAATGAGGTGGCACGGATAGGCGGCACTGATAGACAGCACTAATTAGGGGTCACGGATAGGCATGGCACTGATATGCAGTACTGATAGGCGGCACTGATAGGTGACACTGATGATGGGTACTGATAGACGACACTGACTGGCATCACTTCTGGGCACTGACTGGCGGCACTGACTGGCACAACCCCTGGGCACTGACTGGTGGCACTGACTGGCAGCACTGCTGGGCTGCACTGTGGGTGCACTGGTGGGCGGGCACTGGTGGGTGGCACTGGTGGGCGGGCACAGGTGGGTGGCACTGGTGGGCACAGGTGGTGGCACTGGTGGGCACAGGTGGGTGGGCACAGGTGGGTGGCACTGCTGGGCACATGTAGGTGGCACTTCTGGGCACAGGTAGGTGGCACTGCAGAGTGGCACAGGTGGGTGCACTGCTGGGCACAGGTGGGGGCACTGCTGGGCACAGGTGGGGGCACTGCTGGGAACGGGTGGGCGGGGCTAGTGGGCGCACTGCTGGGCGGAACTTGCGGGTGTCACTGCTGGGCACCGATCATCAGGGCACTGATCATCAGTGCCCTGATGATCGGTGCCGATCTCCGCTCTGACAACTGCCGTGGTTTTCTCGGCAGTACTTTCCTCACGATCTGACAGCGTGAGGAAAGTGCACCCGAGAACCGGCACTTGCATTTCCCTGTGATCAGCGTGTCATTGGACACACCGCTGATCACGTGGTAAAAGGCCGGTGGGATCGGCCTTTCACCACATCACGTGATCAGCTGTGTCCGTTAGGACACAGCGATCACGGAGATCGCCGGGTGCGCGCCCCCTGGGGAGGGAGAGCGCGTTCTGGGAGGACGTCATATAACGTCCACTCATGAACTGGCCGGAACCGCGGTGAAGCCGTCATTCGGCTATGCGCGGTCGGCAAGAGGTTAAATGTGCAACCCAAGAGATCATACACAATACCAATTTATAGACAGAAAATGCATCCATAAAACTTAATTGTTTATCATTGTACAATAGCACAAAAAGGAATACTAGATTTACCGTATTTTGCGCTCCATAAGACACACTTTTTTCCCCCCCCAAAAAAGGGGGGAAAATGTCAGTGCGTCTTATGGAGCGGCCGGACCGGTATTTCCACCGCCGCCATGTCAGAATACCGGGCCAGCCGCTCAGCTCTGCAGCGGGACCTTATGGAGACTGCTGACCTTTGGGGAGGTGGGGAGCGGGTACCTGAATTTGACAGGTACCCGCTCTTACTTCTGCGGAGTTGTTCTTTGACCTTACCTGTTCCTCTGTCCAGCAGCGTGCTGTCTTCCGGCTTCTGTAGTGTGGACGCTCGGCTTAACAGCCGGGTGCCAAGTGCGCATGCGCAAGAAGCGGTGCTTTTTGTGAATGGTAAGGCGGTACCTGGGACACATGACAGATCCCAGAAGCCACCGGACCAATCACAAAGCACAAGTGCTTCTCGCATCATGCGCACTGGGCACCCGGCTGTCATGCCGAGCCCCACACTACAGAAGCCGGGAAGACAGCGCGCGGCTGGATAGAGGAACAGGTAAGATCAAAGAACAACTCCACGGAAGAAAGAGCAGGTACCCGCTCCCCCCCCCCCTCCCCAAAGGTCAGCAGTCATCCCTGTGCTGTCCGCAGTCTCTGGTCAAGACCCTGTGCTGTGTCTGCAGTCCATTAGTTCAGAATTTTTTTTTTTCCTGTTTTCTGCCTCTAAAACCTAGGTGCGTCTTATGGTCAGGTGCGTCTTATGGAGCAAAAAATACGGTATCCTGCTCCCAAAACATAATTAAAACTAACAACTCAACTAACAACTATAGAACAAAGGAGGAAAGTCAGCATCTTGTCGTGAATGTGCCATTCTAATGTGTTTTGAGGAAGTTGCTTCATCATGACACAGGACACACTATATAGATCTTCTTAGTATCATCATTTTTATGCTATAAAGAATAAATTCAGTGGGGATATCATTTTATACAAAACAAATTATATATGTACAAATACATTCAAAAGTGTACCATTCACTGTATACCATAAAGAAAACATTTTAAATACATAGAGAAAACAATTAATATGTCCTGGCTTAAACTCTGGAAACAAATTATAAAATCAATTAGTCTGCAATGCATTCCTTCAAACATAAAATTCTTGCCTAAATATAACTCATAACACAATGAGCACAATGTGGGCCGAAGGAACCAACAGTCTCACCCAGCCTGTGGGGAGGCCCTGGAAGCACAAACCAAGGAGAAAGACAGTTATAAATAGTCTAATAAACAAACCCCTCATTCTCACTAAAAAGTGATTACAAAGAGAAGATAGGGATTATAATTTAAATAAGTCTTTTACTAACTTACTTTCAACTATATTCACTGCAAAAGGTTAAAGTCCAACTCCAGGTTAGAGTGCGGAAGGGTTACACCCTCTTTCCAGTTTTTCTGATATCTGTGACCTGGTGACCTCAGTGAAAGTGTACAGAGATAGTAATAAAAATATCACAGAGGTTATGTCTTCTCTTCCTAAAAATAGTGTGTGTTTTTTTTTTAACTGTCTGTGCTCCCATTTGAGCATATCTCCCAAACACCATGGAAACCGCATTCCTTACCTTTCCTGACTTTATCCAAGTCTAAGGAAATTTTTAGCTGAATCTTTGCTTTACACATATAGGTCTGTAGTTTTGCAGAGTGACTGCAGTCCTTTTTTAAATGTAGGCACCACTGCATTCAGTCCTCATGCACACTGGACGTTTTTTACAGCTGCTGTTTTAAGCTTTTTCTACAGCCAGTAAACCCCCCCCAGCATGTTATCCTATGTGTTCGTGCGCACATAGACTGTAATCAGCGTTTTTTTTGGCTGGAAAAAACCCCCAGGACTAGTGGGTTTCTAGAGGAGTTTTTTAGCTGTGAAAACGCTCTAATGCTGAAAAAAACGCAGCAAAACACAGTAAATCACGGTAAACCGGCAGTTTTGGACTTTTTTTGAACAAAAAATAATAATTTGTTGTGGTAAAAAACACTAAAAAGCACAAACGCAAACAACGCGGCAAAACTTTGCTAAACGCTAATGCAAAAATTCTTAAAACCGCTGAAAAACTCACGTTTTTAATGTGACTGTACACAGCTAACATTACCAGCTTTATTAAAACGCCCAGTGTGCATGGAGCCTAATGCTCAGAAGAGGAGAGAGTGGTACACTACCCAGAAAAGCAATCAATGGAAGACTAATATGGTCCAATGAATCGAGCTTCACACTGTTCCCAACCACTGGACATGTTTACATGTGGCAAACACCATCCCAAGCTTACGACCATGACTGTCTTGTGCCAACAGTAAAGCATGGTGGCTACGCAGGCATGGTCTAGACAGCCATATTCTGAAGGCTCCATCATCACCTTGAAAGGTAGAGTCACTGCCATGGTGCAAACATTGTTTTCTCAAAGATGGTGCTCTTTACCAAGAAGATAATGCTCCAATTCACAAACCGGAGTTTTTGGACTTTTTTTTGACCACAAAAAGATTTTTTGTTTTTGAAAAAAAAACCCGCTAAAAACCGCAAATGCGGAAAAAAACGAGGCAAAAATGCTGCTAAACGCTAATGCAGAAATGCTGAAAAACTCGCGTTTTTTTAACATGACTTTACACAGCTAACGTTACCAGCATTATTAAACGCCCAGTGTGCATGGAGCCTTACTTTGTGCCAATCATTCGGTGCACAGCCAGTTATTAAAGTGACTTTGTCATAAGAAAAATTTAGGGGTTGCCAATGTAGGCCTTCTTCTGCTAGATGCCTGATTGTCGTATATTTCAGTCAGTCTCAGAACAAACACACTGTAAATGAGTGTCAGAAAAGTGTCTGAACTACTTATCTCAATACTTGTTCCAGGTCAGTGACTCTGACAACTATAGCACTCACCCCCAAAAGGGTTGGCTATTTTGGTCCCGAAATTTTCCCCAGTAGAAGCACTAGCAGCCAGACACAAAGTCTCAGTTACTTCTTCTGACTCAATGATAAGTCTAGGAGTACTCTTTTTGATGCTTTATTGAAAAAAACATGGACTTGGATATGTGCAGGGTAACCATGGCATACTCCAGCAACATTAAGCAGTAATTTGAGGAAGCCTATCTTCCTCCTAAAGGTTCTAAGCATTGTTCTTGCAGCAGCAAATAATGGACTGAGCTACACAAAGACACAATGAACAATGACCACTTTTAAGCACAAGCTGACTCTGATGCAAAAGGGATAGTAGCAGCAGGTAGTCGCTGGGATCTCACACTGGTCTGTACTCACTAATGTCCAGTTGATGCCTCCTTCCAATATCTGCCAGAGATATCACCTGTGAAACTATTCAGTCCAGATCCCCCAAAAAGAAGTCCCTCAGTCATCTACTGCAGAGTAAAGCAGAATAGGCCACCCAGCTAGCATATCTGAGCCCTCATTGAGAAGTAGAACAGCTAATCTGGACTGTCCAGAGGGGCAGCAACTATTCAGAATGAGATATCCTCGTTCTGGACAAGAAAAAGAACAGCTCTAGGCTTCTGACTATTTATGCTCACTCCAGCCACCATCTGGGCACCCCCAGGGATTGACTGAGACCACATAAATATTCATACTGTAGATTTTGACTGTCCCGGACCACTACTTTCCTGAACCATCCAGAAAACGGGGAAGCAGCCAAAACCACAGCCTGTGAAACACAGAGAGCAAACCAGAGGAATCACAAGCATCTCAACTGATCACAGGAGAACTTTATAACTAAATTTACCTAACTAGCACCTATCTAGGAGGAAGCTACACAACATTGAAATGAAAGGATCAAAATGACAACCAGGGAACCAACATTCTCAATGAGAATTTACTAATGTTGGCCTTCATTAAATATATTACAATAATCTAGCTGTTAATGAATTTCTTACTTACAATACTATGTACTCACACTAACAAAATGGGAACACACATGATCACCATTATAAAATATACCACCTTCATAGGGATTCCTAGTTCTTACTGCCAATCCATTAGTTCAACAAAGTTAAAGGGGTTGTAGGGGTTGTTATTGAGGGTAAAATGAACTGTGCTTTAAAGTGAAACATTAAAGTCAAGGTTAGTCCAGTTGGTCACAACCAGATAAAATGTAAAGGAGTTCAGGACAGGCAGAGTCACCAACAACTAGGCAGAATTGCACCAATAAGCCAAATAAATGCCACAGCAGGTAAGGTATGTGTGCAATTAAAAAAAAAAAAAGAATCACAAACCAATCAGGATGTACTTGGCCATGCCCCATCATGGGTCAACTGAGGAAATAATATGTGTGAATGTGCATGCATGACTACAGTAGCAGGTATGCAGAGGGAACCAAAGAAGGGCATCAAGGCAGCAGCAGGACATGGTGAGAATTCCAGGAGAATTTTAGGGTGGGGACCAACTGTGTGACTGCAGTGACTGATTTGATTGTATAATTTTGACCAAAACTCACCATACTGATGTGTGTTCAGTTGTACTGAAAAGTTGCACTTCTCCTTCTAAGGGGTGATTCACACTTTATGCTTCAT